TGAGCGCACGTGTGTGTGTGTGTGTGTGTGTGTGTGTGTGTGTGAATGGATGGATGGATGGATGGATGGATGGATGGATGGATGGATGGATGGATGGATGGATAGATGGATAGATAGATAGATAGTAGCAGACTAATCTATGTCGCACTAACACCAGAAACCCTAGACAATTAAAAGTATTTGTCACCCACTCTCTCTAATTAAAAGTCTACTTCATCCCTTCAGACAAGCAATCAAAAAAAGATTTCATCACCGTGTCAGTGCAGTCAATCAAACATCTATTTAATCGTCTCTGTCTATCAATCAAAAGTCTATTTAACATTAATCCCCTCAAAAAACTATTTTGTACTAGCTGACTACACGTTCGATGAACGGACTTAAAAGAATAGTCGATCATCAAGTCATTGTGGAAACAGTGCGCACAGCTTGTGAACGGAAGCCTCATTTGTTCACAATGACGTCTAAGAAGACGGACTTTCCCCAAGAGTAGATCTGAACGAAACTAATGAAAAACTGAAAATTAAACTTCTTACTCCTCAATAAAACTGCACCCTTTAAATGATTCTGAACCACCGTCATTTTTTTTTTCAAATTCGAAAGTTAAGTGGTTAGGGAGTTTTAGGAGGTCAAAGTGACGAACTTTCACAAATAATATATATATAGGTGACTTATCAAAAGTCTATTTTATCACTTCAGGCAGCTATAACTAATCCAACGTCAATTTCATCACTTCATTCAGCCAGCTAATCAAAGTTCTATTCCATCATCTTAGTCAAATGATCAAAAGTCTATTTCATTACTTCAAACACCCAACCAAAAGTCTATTTCATTACCTCAAATAATCAACCAAAAGTCTATTTCATTACCTCAAAAAATCAACAAAAGTCTATTTTATTTCCTCAAATAACCAACCAAAAGTCTATTTCATTACCTCAAATAACCAATCAAATCGCTACCCTGGGATTACAAAGCTCTATCTGCTCAGTACCGTACCTACTTTTGAGAAATTTGACGTTCAATTTTTATTAGTTTCACAGCATGCTAAGCTTTTCCGAATTCATGCCGATTCCTTGAATGTCTTGATAACGACTCCAAATGGTCTTACCATTCAGATAGAGCAAATAGAACATTAATTGGTTTCCGACATCATGGACTTAGTCTAAGATAGCTATTCAAACAACTTACTATAACTAACCAAAGGTCTATTTCATTACCTCAAACTATTATACTTCATCAAAGGTCTACTTCCTCACCTCAAACAACTATAACTAATCAAAGGTCAATTTCATTTTCCCAAACTGCTGTACTTCATCAAAGGTCTACTTCCTCACCTCAAACAACTATAATTAACCAAAGGTCTATTTCATTACCTCAAACTATTATTTTCATCAAAGGTCTACTTTTTCCCCTCAAACAACTATAACTAATTAAAGATCTATTTCCTTAGCCCAGACAACCAAGTAACTCTATGAATATGACGACGTAGTGGCCACATACGTCTGATCAGCAGCAGATCAAAGACATCTTGTGGTAGGCCTACATTACGAACCATTACATATGAATCAGAAACACGAATTTGCTTTTATCTCTGTACACATTTCATTTTCTTTGATTGCCCTTTTAAAACAAAATAAAAAAATCTGTAAGAATAAATAAGATAATATTACGGTCATTCTTTTCCATGAGAAGACACGTTAAGACACGTTAAGACACGTTAAGACACGTTAGGAAACGATAAGACATGATAAAATAACGATAAGACACCAAGAAGACACGATAAGACACGATAAGACACAAAATGACATGAAAAGACATGTTCTAAAACGCGAAAAGACATCCCCTTTACCAAGAATTCCAAGTCACAACACAAGTAGTGAGCTCATTATGTTTGGACTAGTGCCCCAGTTTGAACTACATTACGCTCCCTTTGGATCATGTGACCAAAAGTAGTCAGACTGCTTTGATTAGTAAGTAAGTTTATTCAGTGTTTAAGGCCATTGGCCCACATCACATCACACAAAACACTCATTTGATAAGTAAAGTTTCCATAATAAATAAGTACAGGTTGTGCACATATCTCTATCATGAGTCAAACATTGCATATTTCTGTCACTGGGCCGATTGAGGCTGGGAGGGATTAACAATTTTCTTTGATGGACAAAGTGTGAACAATAGAAAATAAAGTGAAATCCATCTTCAATTTCATGAGAGTTACACCTCTCACATATTGATTTGGTGAGAGTGAGACCAAGTACAACTCTGTTTCTATCAGTCTGACTGCATGGTAACATTGCTAAGATTGCCGAGTTCCGGTACAGGACTAGTCTGTTGATGATTTTTTCGCCTTTGCTGTCAAGCAAGCGCACCCTCATCCAGATCCAAACAACATCGGTGGCCTAGTGGTTAGGCACAAATTTTCCTAACTTCACCCAAGTGGAAATGGGTACCCGGCTATAGACAGTGAAAGATCTTGTCAGTTTGATAGTGTTTGAGCGCGTGAAATCCGCTTCCTCGGAAGCTGAGAATGTTTCTGAGTGTTCTCATAGAGTCTGCTGGGGTAATGATAGTTGTAAAGCGCATAGAGCATGCTCTTGAGCATGGATATGCGCTATATAAATGCAATTATTATTATTATTATAACATCTTTACCTTTTACCAACTTTTTCATCCTCTGTTGCCGTTAAGCGTCGAGGGAAAATTGTGTGATGTGATGTGGGCCAATGGCCTTAAACACTGAATAAACTTACTTACTTACTTACTAATCAAAGCAGTCTGACTACTTTTGGTCACATGATCCAAAGGGAGCGTAATGTAATTCAAACTGGGGCACTAGTCCGAACAGAATGAGCTCACTACTTAGTACTTGTGTACTGACTCGGAATTCTTGGTAAACGGAATGTTTTTCCGTGGTTTAGAACATGTCTTTTCGTGTTTTTTCGTGTCATTTCGTGTCATTTCGTGTCTTTTCGTGTCTTTTCGTGTCTTTTCGTGTCTTTTCGTGTCATTTCGTGTCTTTTCGTGTCTTTTCGTGTCATTTCGTGTCATTTCGTGTCATTTCGTGTCATTTCGTGAGTCTTTTCGTGTCATTTCGTGTCATTTCGTGTCATTTCGTGTCATTTCGTGTCATTTCGTGTCATTTCGTGTCATTTCGTGTCTTTTCGTGTCATTTCGTGTAATTTCGAGAGTCATTTCGAGAGTCATTTCGTGTCATTTCGTGTCATTTCGTGTCGTATCGTGTCCAAACAACACCAAAAGGTGCAAAAACAAACAAAAGTGTATCTGGACGATACAGGGGCGTGGACTCCCGGCCCCATGTGCTGAACACATCTTGTTCTGACCCCTGAGGGTAACTGGAAGATAGTCGTCAAAAAGAATGATCAGTTCTGCAAGGGAATGGGAGACTGCAAAAATGTCTAAAAGTTTGTACCCATTGACCCAGAGCCTTCAAATTTCATGGTTTTGCTTCTTTTTTTCAAGTGCCTCCCCCCCCCCCCCCCCCCCCCAAAAAAAAAAAAATTAAAAAAAAAATTGTATAAATAAAATACATAAATACATAAATATATAAATACATACATACGTAAATATATAAATACATACATAAACAAATAAATAAATAAATAAATAAATAAATAAATAAATAAATAAATAAATAAATAAAAATATGCATACCTTCAAACGTTGTCAAATGGCCAGAATGCTCGCCCTCAATTAGTGAAAAGTCTATAAATTTGTGACACAACGCGGTGCTATCAGGCGTTTGTCAATTTTTGGACATCTGGAGTTATTGTGTCATCATACAGTTTGTTCATTTGTCTATTTTTCCATAAAAATAATACCCTTCAATCTTGAATATAAGTCGAGATATTTGTATTTCAGGGCGGAAGGGGGCGCCTGATGTCAGAGATAAAATAAGCGAGAAAATGGCCACCAAATGTTGGTGACTTTCATAGCCTAAGAGTTTTTGGAAACTGAAAATTTACCTTTTCTTGCCTTTCATCAACGTTTTTCAGTAAAGTCCACAAAGAAAATGATGTGTTTTTAAATTGACATTGAAGGTGCTGAGCCCAAAAACAAAAATTCAATAAAAATTGCCAAACTGCACAAAACCTCTGGCTTCTTCGATTGTATTATTTGGACGAGCACCTGATTTCACCATGATGCTTGACATTTCATTACCACAGACAGCTAACCAAAATGTCTATTCCATCACTTCAGACAATTATAACAATTCAAAAGTCTATTTCATCACCTAGGTCAATCAATTAAAAGTCTGTTTCACCACCTTAGACAACTGTAATTAATCTAAAGTGTAGTTCAATACATTAGACAATCAATCAAAATTCTCCTTCACCATCTCAGACCAGCAATAGAAAGACTATTTCATCCCCCCCCCCCCCCAGACAAAAGAGCCAAAAGGTCATCTAGATCTACCCCTCCGACAACCAATCAATGATGAAAAGCTCGATGTACCCGTAACCGCCA